TGACATCACTACCGTAGGACAAAGAAAAGATTCTGAATCTTCCTGAGAACTTGAACTCCAGACCTCGGGATTCTGTGCTCCGACGCTTTACCATTGAGCCACAGAGACTTTTAGTGTACAGTGCCTTTATGACACGCTTTAATGTTCATCTTCCCGATTTTTTCCTTACAGTGGAAACAATCAAACAGAGGAAGTAGGATGCAGTTCGTGTTCGTCACTTCATGTATCATTTTACTGCTGGGCTTCACGCTCTCGGCATCCCGGTTCTCAAACCATAGGTGCGACATTGCAAACTGGTGGGCGAGCTTAGATAGGAAAGCATGGTCTGTTTGTCCCAAAACCAACACCTACCTCCGAGGATTTTGGAGGAGTGCTTATAAACCGGGAGACGAAAGAGTTGGACGCCTGGAAGAGGGAAGGTGCTGCGATGCTGTGCTGCCCCAATATGCAGGCCAACTGGCAACGTGTTCAGATGTGGACTTGTCAGACAAGTTTAATCAGTGAGTTGTTCTCTGAGTTCCAGTCTTCTGTGCATCAATTCTCAAGGATGCAATGTAGATTTGCGGGACGTCTCGAAGAACGATCTGGTAGGGGATAATGATCCCTTTTTAAATGTAGCCTGGTATAAAGCTAAAAAGAACAATTGAATTAAACAGCTTAATGCGAATAATTTTTTATTACCATATTCTGAGACTATTTTCCTCTAGTGTAATGGCTAAACATTATCCATCCGTAGAAGTTTACAAGTGAATATGATCTCTCTAAATGTAATCGCCAAATTTAATAACAGCCACTAAAATTTAATTTTGTTGCTAAAAGAGAATTAAAATCCCTGGGTAGCTCACCTCCTCTCCACATTTCTATCTCTTGTACTTCTATACTGCTGAAAAATGTTTTGTTTTTCAGGCGGTGTATGTATGTTTGTATGTATGCATGTATGTAAATCTTTATTTAAACACGGAAAATCATCAGTTACATAATAAAATTAAGATTAATCAACTGCTTTACATGATTGCCGTGTGGGAATCCTATATATCGACTACGTTAAGATTTCGCCTAAAATGGTTAATGGATGAAGCATTTTTTTAAGTTTTTGGGCAATTTATTCCATAACATGGCCCAGCTGTAAGAGAAGCTTCGTTTCAAATAATTTTTGTTTGGTTTGGACAAGACTACCCTTCCCTCAGAGTTTTTTATGTCGTACACAGAGTGACGCTGAGAGAAAAGACTCTGTAGATATTCGGGAGCAAGGTTGTTTATAATTTTATACATCATTGGGGCTTTTTGTTTCTCTCGTCGAAGAGATAGCCTCTCCCAATCGAAAGTGGAGAGAAGGTGGTTTAAGCTCGTATCAAAGGGTGATTTAGTGATAATTCTGGCTGCTCGATTCTGTAATTTTTGGAGCTTATCGCTTAAGTAGCCAATTAAACAGTCCCAGACGGGGCTGCAGTAATCAAAATGAGGCATAATCAAAGCGTTATAAATTTGAATTGCAGTTTCTTTGGACATAAAGGGCCCCAAGAGAGTTGGGCATCTATAGTAAGATCCAAAGATTTGGTCTTGTCTACTCTCTTGATAATTTGGTCATCAATTCTGATTTCTAAGTCGTTACATTGGGCAGATAGTCTTTGTCTTGATCCAGTAATCATTAACTCTGTTTTAGCAACATTTAGACTGAGCTTGTTAGCTTTCAGCCAACGGCTAAGGCTATTCAATTCAGGGGTTAGAGCTAGCTCAAGCTCTTTTACTGTCTTAGCAGATATCGTAAGATTGGTGTCATGTAAGATTGGTGTCAGCGTAAAGAAATAAGAGTTCTGACCATGCCAAAAGCCTTAGATTATCTTGGAGAACCAGTCATCGATAAGTCAGCTAGCTGAGTCTTCTATCAGCGAAGACGTTTTCACTAACATTTATGTCGATAACTGTTCAGACCCAGTTGATCATAATTCTTTTATTTTACTCTTTTCAGGCAAAACGTCTGGGCGCTTTGTCCTCACGGTTATTTCATGAATGGCCTCAGACTTGGTTTTGCCCCTCCTGCGTTTTTGAACAACATAGACGAGGCAAAATGTTGTCGTCCACAGAACCATCCCAGAAGTTATGAAAAATGTTACGATGAAGATGTTACCGTTCCATTTGACAAAAAAGGATGGAGTGAATGCCAGAAGGACGAGTTTTACATGACCGGTTTCTACAAAAGTAGATGTGATGAGCTCAACTGTATTGAGAAGTTCAAATGTTGCAAGATGAAAGTTGGTAATATTCTTTGCTTACGTGATTAATGATACGTTATTTTATAAAGAATCATAGAGCGTATTTCATTTAACATCTCATCATTATCAATTTCAAAATTAATAGCTTATCATTATCGTTATAATTATCATTCAACAATTCACAATCATTGTCATTGTCATTGTCATTGCCACTGCGGTTGCCACTGACAGTGTCATTGCCAGTGTCAATGTCACTGTCATTGTCATTGTCATTGTCAGTGCTATTG